GTAACAATATATCTGTGTCATTGAAATTTGGCGGCAGGGAAACACATCTAAAAAGCTTGTGAGAAGAGCAGTGATGTGAGTTTGCGAACTCGCGCCTCTGCTCAGCGGCCTCCTTGTCCGGTCAGACACAAGTCACCTGGGACCGGCACGTTTCCTTTTAGCGAGTGCACACACTGGGCTGGACCGGGAGAGAGACCAACTGAAAAAGAAGTCGGCCAAGTCGGTCTCTTTCTCGGCCCTCTTGCTGCCCCTCAGTAGCATAACTGATATTGATGACACCAGAGCAGACACGCTTTGATTACTGTCCAACCGAACACGGCCAACCCTACGAAAAATGGTGGCAGCCTGTTCAATGAACAGTTTAAAAGCACTCACTTGAACACACACATACACACACACGAAACCATTCGCTACCTCTCTAACAGAAACATGAGAGGAAAAAAATAAACCTATTCATATGATGCATTTGCTTCTAGAGAAGGTTTGATTTTCTTCGTGCCAAACCTAAAGGCCTTTGTGCAACATGACAAGCCTTTTGAATAAATTCTCATAAACAGCCTAGACAGCTGGAAAATGGATAACCCCACTGCATGACATTCCGGCCCTTTAACAGACTTCTCCTCTCCTTAAATATTAATGTTTCAATTACAGCGTACACCTACTTTATTAGCCACACCGGCCTCGGTTCCGATCAATACCAGCAGCACTAGATGGAATTCTAATGAAGAGAAACAACGCCACATCCTCCCCAGCTTCCCCTGGGCGCAGATGCACAAAGCCTCCTTTCACCACTTGCTCCAAGATATTTTACAGTCACCTGCCTCATGCAAATGTGACTCATGTTTATTCATGCCGAGGGTTACAGACCACCTTTCATTCCCTGAGCCAGCTCAGCTAACCAACAGCATCTGCCTCACCATCACGTTGAGCTGGCCTAGCCTGGAAAGGGGACTCCTGAATATGTAATCACCCCCTGAGATACATGCACAGAAAGTCAGTAAGCTGGGAGCCATTTGGGAGCAAATGTGTTTCTTTTTTTTTATTTGTGCAGTCGCTGCCTTTAGGTTTCAAACAATCCCTTTTACATACTAAACCCTAACCTACTAGATGCGACTAGTTAGTGGGTACTTTCTGCGGATCATCTTCCAGGGGGCACCTTGAGATGCCTGCTCTGCCCTGCCCTCTAAGTCGCCCTGACCGAGTTTCTCCCACTGACTCCTGGGAGTCTGTAGCCTGGCTGGGGCAGCTGCGGCTTTGTTCGGTGGGCCTGGTTCTCCCCCGGGCCCACGGTCTCCTATTTGAAGGGACGGATTCTTATCTGCAAGCCTGAGATTGTAACCTCTATCATGTTGTGCTTTGCTTATTATGCTGCTGGGTGACGTTTTAAAATAGTGCTTTTGTTCTTGAGTGGCTATGTTTCTTGGTCGTGAGTTTCTTCCACTTCGGTAATTTGAAAGCGTAGCAACGCCATTGGATCTTGATTTTTAATGCCGATTTGAAAGTATCTAAAGCAACACCAATGCTACGAACAACTATCTGGATGGTCCCTAGAAGGCTCAGCCACCCCTCAACCGTCCTCAGCAGAGAGGTCTGGGCAACTAGGTAACTGCTGAAGAGCAATTACCTACCAGCTGTTACAGACATGAGAGGTATGTGCCCTGCTGATTTCTAGGCTGATTCCCATGGCATGTCACATTGAAAACTGAGGTGTCTAATAAAGTTGTTTGGAGGAAGACACCACCAAAATCCATGACATTTTCAGCTTTAATGCTACCTCTGCCATTAAATGAGTTATTTAATTCAGTTAAGAACTTTATTTGAGGTACATAGACAGTTTTCCTTTACCCCACCCCATTTTTTCTAATATAATGGCCAAAAAATGTCTTCTTTTAAAAAGTGCAATTAAAGAAAACAACTCATAGACACAGACAACAGTATGGTGATGACCAGAGTAACAGGGGGGTGGGGGGGTAGAAGGTAAAGGGAGATAAATGGTGATGGGGGGAGACTGGAATGGGTGGCGAATGTGCAGTACAAGGCACAGATGATTTGTTATAGAATCATACACCTGAAACCTAGATAATTCTATTAAGCAATGTTACTCCATTAAATTCAATAAAAAGTTTTAAAAAGTGCAATTTACTCATTTTTGATCGACAGAATCTATCTTATTACATACAAAAGAACACTTTACCACTGCATATGACATTTTACTTCTTCAAAGCATTTTCATGTTATTCCTTCAACTTAACATCACACCCCCATAAAAGAGAGAGATGGAATACTGGTATCCACTTTTTACAAGAATTTTCATTTTCAGGCGTACCACTCCTGAGTAGCAGAACCAGGATTAGAACCTGGGCCTTTCAGACCGACGGACAGGCTGTCTCACCACTTCGCACCATGTGTGCCACCAGCTGGCGCCACGTGTTACGGGCGTCACCTGATGGTGTCCCACTGACATGACTCACCTTCACTGATCAAGTCTGCCTTAACAAAAACCTTCACTGGTAGCTCTGACCCCACCCTAAGATTTGACTGGTGTGTGCAGAGGCTGAGCCCTGGGCTAACAGGTTCCAAATCCCTCCCCCGTGTCGATTCTAATGCGAGATTAAGAAACACTGCCACACACAGGTATAGATTCTGGTGTGCAGACCCTTGTTAGACGTTTTAAGAGGAGCCACCAGGGACAAAATCTGCCAGTGAGATGCCTGTACCAGAAATATCCACATCACTGCATCCCCTTTCCTGCCCGGCTCAAAAATGAGGGCGTCGACGTGACGACAGGCCCCAAGTGTGCTGAGGTACCCAGCGGCAGTTCATCTCCTCTCCAACGCCCATAACCATGAATAATGCATGCTCTCAAGTATCAGTGATAAAAGGTGAAAATGCAGAACACAAACCCGACGGCCTGAATGGATGGATCACTCTGCAGAGACCGCTCTCCCGAGAAATCCAAAGAAAGTACTTCCAAAGTATAAATATTTTAATCACTCTATAATTCTACTTCTCTCTCATAAATGAAAAAAATCCCTTCTGCCGCTTCCCAAGTCCAGAGGAGGAGAAAGACAGCCCCTCTTCGAACCTCAGCTCACGCAGCAGCATTGACTACCCGGTGCACCACCCGACACCTACGGACTACGGTCCCATCCAAGGTGGGATGTCGAAGAGATTCCCACGTCTGCTGGAATCGAGTCTTGTTTGCTGGGAAAACTGAATTTTGGGTTGAGGGCCTACCGTTTCTTCAGTAATGAGCTAAAGAAGGCAGACCTCAGGTTCTAGGTTGACATTCCAATCTGCCACCCATGCTTCCGTTCCAAGTGGCCAGAGCCTGAGATGATGTCAAATAAAGTTCAAGAGAAATTAAGTCTGAGGTTGAGCTTCTTTACAACATTTCTAAATTCAAATTTGGACAATCTTGAGAGACAAGAAAAAACATTAACTCGAACCAGTAACACCAAACCCACATTTGTTCCTAAATTCAATCACTTCTGCTTCCGAGTTAATGACAAGGAGAAAAGTGAACTGATTGAAATCTCTCTTTTCCAATTTATTATCTGCTAAAACAGAGCAGTGGTTAATAGACTGACAGCAGGGAAAAAAATCAGAAAGTTATCTTTCACACTGGATTAGTGGCTTTCACACAGGGACATAAAAGGAAAGGGGTATAATTATATCTGCGCTTGAGCACCCATTAGCAGGACTCCATGGCTGGTATTATTCTGGTCTATCAGCAGAAAGGAAAACAACAAAAAGAGCTCATCTGCCTGATACACACACCTCCAAATCAATCCACCTACGAATTAAACACCCATTACACGAAGGGAAATGATGGCCCTTCTACTGAGGCCAGGTGCTAATGCCCAGATTCTGGGAACGTGTTACCTTCTATGGCAAAGGGAGTTCAGGTTGCAGACAGCATTGAGGTTGCTCATCAGCTGACCTTAAAATAGGGAAGATGATCCTGGATTATCCAGGTGGTACAGTGTAATCACAGGTGTCCTTAAAAGTAAACAATCAAGGCAGAAGAGGGATCAAACTGATGAGACATGATGTGGGAAAGAAGGAAATGGAAGTTCTGAGAAAAGGTGGCAAAGAAGCAAAGATCAATAAGAATATTAAGCTGAGCTGGAGTTCATGTATTACATTATGTTGCAAGCACAAGCCCACGAGGCCCCCTGGGTTAGTTGTGAGATCCAACCCTTAGATTTTTAGAAAGAGCCATGTCCCTAGGACCTCATGGATCATGAGGCCAACCATACAGTGACAGATTAGAAGAATTAAAGGCTGACATACACCTGGACTGTCGCTATTGTTAATAGGACCTTTATGTCAGGATAAAGACTTTGCCTATCTTGAAAAGTGTACACGATGCTTCTGCTTCCTCTAAGGTGGTTAACACTTTTCTTCCCACCAACATTTGCTCACAGAAAGAAATAAGAAGTTCACACTCTTATAGAAAACCCAAGGACACCTCCATTCAAAGAATCAAATGCTTTCTCTAAACCAAGAAAATGTTCCATATACACTTATTCAACTCTCCAAAAGAGATCTTGTGGTTTAACAATAACCCTTTTTGACACAGCCAAGGGCAAGGAGTCTCAACACACCCACAGTCCACAAAGAATCCAAGTGACCCAGACCAAACAGGCTCCCTGATCTTTCTCCCTGTGGCAGCCCCTGCACAGGTGGGAGGAAGGCATTATCCCTAGTTGATCTTGCAACAATGAGGCATCCTAGAGCCATGCCATAAAGGAAAAGCTCATCTGGCCATTATTCTTCACAAATGGAATGAAACTGCTTCAAGCTTATTCCCAGAGGCAGCAGAGCACCACCAACCCAGACGAGGGTCATTCTTTCGTCTCTCTGAAGACAGACAAGAACCACAGTCCTCCCCATTCTCCCGATTTACCACCTGCCTTCCCCGCACAGCTAAGGGCCGAGCAAAAAGGAGGCACCCTGGATGGCGCGATGCTGCCTCTGCCCTAGAGTCACCTCACCTTGTTGAAGTCTTCAGAAGTCGCCCTCATCTCCTTCCATGTCTTGTTCAGGAGCTGGATACAGATGCAGAAAAACTCCTCAAAGGATCTGTCGTGGGTAAAGAACATCGGGTGGAAGTCGTTGCAGGTCTCACTGGCTGGAGGAGAAGGGAAATAAGGGAGGATATTTGAGAAGTGAGACGGGAAGAGCAGCAGTGGGGGGCACTCAAAGGAGAGAAGCCGGGAGCTTCAAAGTTTAAGGTCAGGTGGTCAGACCTACCCTGAGGTACAGATTTTAACGGAAGGAAGTCAGCTGCTAAGCCACACCATGACAGGAGCCTAATGGCCAGTCCAGGATCCCAGGTGCTGAGTATGCGTCTGCGTCCGCCTTCCTCACCTTATAAAGACTAAGCCAACCAGCCCTTCTCAGGCACAGCTCCTCCTTCACCCTTAATTTCCCCTTTCCCAACGGGATAACTGGCAGAGGATGAGCTTTCCTGAATACACAATTAATTGCAACTTTGAAAGTAGTATCCTTGATTCCTTCTTCAGGGGGCTCTTTTTCCTCTTAGGCAGTGAGCAGGGGACGTTTGAGATCATTAACCATCAGGTGCCACTAACTATTGCTTTGTATTCCCAGACACCGGTGGCTGGAGGCTAAAGTGATCCAAATGGCTGGCAAGGCTGCCACTGGTCCGATCCTGGGCCACACCGGGAGGTCAGCCAGCCCGCTGCGAGCCCCATGCGGCAGAGCTTCCCGGGGCAGACCCCGTGCTCTCCGGCTGCTGCCGCCGCTCCGCCTTCCCTGACCAGCACCCCGGCCCCAGCCTTCTTCTCAGCTCTCCGTCAAGGCTGCGTTCTCAGAGCCCTTTTACATGAAACACATTTGATCCTCTGCATAGCTTACTGCTTATGTCTAATGGAAGAGGACCCTGGGATCCGATGAACTGGGCTTTGTGACTCGCCTACACAGACCCAAAGTGGGTTTTTTTTTCTAATTTTTTATCCGCACCTGAGGACAATTTTTTCCTTTTAGAGAGAGAGAGAGAAAGAGGGAGAAAGAGAGAGAGGGGGAGAGAGAAACATCAACTGGTTGCCTTTTTGTTTTCTTCTTGTACATGCCTCCGTGGGGATCAAACCTGCAACCTGGGTATGTGCTCTGACTGGGAATCGAACCTGCGACCTTTTGGTTTACTTGACAACACTCCAACCAACTGAGCCACACAGGCCAGGGCCCTGAGTGTTTTTATAAAAATATAAACTCTTAAGTACAGTAAAAGGATTCCTAAAAGATTAATTATTCTTACTCTCAAGGCTCCAAATGGTGGAATTTCAAGCCCTAGGTACCCAGGAGAGGAGGAGGGCAGGAGCGGGTTACGGCAGAGACCTCGGTACTTGCGGGGAGCCCTGCCATAGCTGTCTGGTGGAACCTCAAGTCCACCTGGAAGCCTCTTGTGCAGGCAGAGGGACCTGGACCAAACAGAACGGGACACGCTCTGCTCTGGCGGGCCCACGGCTGTTACGCACCAACCTCTTCTGTCTTCGTGCTTTAGGCCTACAGTGAATGCCCGGCCTCCAAAACAGTTTACAACGACCACAAAGTGCCCCGTGTTTGGACAGTGCACCCCCCACAAGGCTGGAACCCCAGATGAAATCTTCCAGACAAGTGAAGGACACATGCTAGCAGCCACGTGAGTGAGTGGTGGAGAAAGGGTTAGGGCCTGGGGTCCCAAGACGGGTTTGGGTCCAGGCATGGCAAGCAGAAGTAAGCCATTTCCCCTTTCTGAGCCTCGATTCTCTTAAGCAAAAAAACAAAAAAAAAACAAAACAAACTAGAAATGAATTCCCACTGCCTTCTCTAAAGGCCTCAGAGAGGACCAAATGACATGATTCTTAGAAAAGTGCTTTGAGTGCATAAAAGCTGATGCAGATACGGAGAAAGGTAGGTGGTGGCTGGTAAGGCATCTTGGGCCTGCGCATCGTTTCCAGGAACACTGGTTGTTCTTTGATTTCCTCCTGATTCCTAGTCCAGCCTGTTCACACCTCAGAAACTAGAGGCAGTGAGAACACATAAGTCACCCGACACCCAGCCTGCGTGACCAGCAGAGAGATGGCATGGGCAGAAAAGGTCTGACCTGAGGCGTGAAGCTGTTCCAGGAACGTGGAACGCACACACACACACACACAGGCAGACAGTGTGTCTGCTGCTCTTGGAGATCCCCCCATCCTAAACACTGAAGCCAAGGCCATTTCCAAGTCTACAGAAGGACTTGAAAGCACTTTTGCCATCCAAGAACCCCTTATTAATCACATCATCACACTCGCTCTTTCCAGCCCAGTGAGTACACGTGTACTTCGTGCCCTCAAGTTTTTATGGGATTGCTGCAGCTGAGACAGCCAGGCAAATGGAAACCTAGGAGCCCTGCTCGTGCTTGGGGGGAAGGGAGGGAGGAAGTATCTCTAACAATAGGGACCATGTGTTGGGTCCTACAATGCACCGAGGGCTCTACCAGCGTTATTCTCCCAACAACCCTGGAGACAGGCATCACGCTTATCTTCCTTTCCATATGAATAACGTGAATCTGGGAGGAATTAACCCTTCTATGATGAAGGTTTTTTTTCAGGGGGCCCCAAATGTGCATTTGAGACCCGCAGTTTGGCCGACCCAGTGGAAGGCTTCCTGCCTTAGTTGGCATGAAGCGTTCAGGGCACTTCCCTGTGATGGACGCTTCAAAAATGAGTGTCTTCCCCCAGGCTCCGTGATCTCCTCGCACTCCTCCCCCAGAATCCAGGCTCTTCACCTGCATCCCAACGGGCTCCCTGCAAGTGCACAGACAGTACATGGTGACGGGCGACACCTGGCCATGTGACAGTGACTACAATGGCCACACCACTGCCACCAGCCACACGTCATGCTCTGGATCACTCATTTCTCTTTTTAAAAAATTAGAAATAGAAGAGTTAAAAAGATTAGGTGACTTGTGCAAGAAGAGTAAGAAAGATCATGTGGCTTCCAAGTGGCAGAGCTGGAATACAAACTCAGGTCAGCGTGGCCCCAAAGCCCGTTGTTTTTCTGTTGCATTCATTTCTTCATGCTGTTTCCCAGTCAAGCCGACTTCCTCTGCACCCCCTGCTTCCAACACACATCTGAAAGAATTGCTTTTCCATCCACAGATATTCACAAAATAAAATCCTGTGAACGGTACCGCTTTAACTGTTCACATGCAGGGCATACCTAGCGGCTGGGATTCCTGTTTTCTCCCTACTGGCCATGACCCGAGTGAAGTTAGAGTCGGATCACCAGGGCCACGCCCCTCTTCTGGATCCTTCTCCACCTCTCCCTGGCTCAGCCCAAGCTGCTCCCTTGGCGACTCTCCTGAATATCCAAGAAATAGTCTCCCTGGTTCTACTTCTGCTGACCCGACTCTTTCACCTTCCTCAAGATACTGTCAGCTTCTCAACATCCAGACTTTCTCCCAGCCAGCCAGTCACTGGGGGAGAATGTCACTGGATGCATTGATTTGACTTATTTCAAAAAACTAACCGATTGGCTTTCTTGTTCACAGAACTCGGATTTTGTTCAGTGTGACAATGCACCCACCTAAAAACTACATTTCCCAGCCTCTTGTGACTAAGAGTGGTCATTATGACAGTCCCCACCACCAACAGATAAACAGAAATTGCTGGGTAGAGTTTCCAGAAATGACCTTTAAAAAGGGGGGGGGGGACTTCATTGGCTTGTCACTTTTGCCTCTGCCTTCTTCACACATCAACTTTTTCATGGTTGGAACATGGGAATGATGACCGGAGCTCTTGTAGCCATTTTGTCAGAATGAAAATGAGGGCTACACCTTAGAGAGTTAAAGCAACTCCTGATGACACTATTGAGTACCATGCCAACCTTGAATTGCTCTCCTAAAGAATTCATTGGAAACAATTTGTTTGAGTTACTGTTTTCAAGGTTTCTGTTACTCTTATACATATGAAATTACTGGTGTGGAAACAAACTCATGGAAGCACACAGATATTAGCATAAAGAGAACATGTGTCCAAGATTACTGGATGCCCTAGAAGAAATAGGGATGAAGAGGCAGAATAATATAATGGTTATAGTCAGATAGATCTGCATTCAGAGACCAAATTTGGCATGCCCTAGCATGCTTTGTAACCTCAGACAGTTAAATTTCCTGAATCTGTTTCCTCATCTGTAAAATATAGGACCATATAAGGCAGGGGTATCAAACTCATTTTCACCGGGCGCCACATCAGCCTCATCGTTGCCTTCAAAGGGTTGAAATAATTTTAGGGCTGTATAAATGTAACTACTCCTTAACTGTTAAGGAGTTGAAATTACATTTGGCCCTTTGAAGGCAACGGTGAAGCTGATTTGGCCCCTGGTGAAAATGAGTTTGACACCCCTGATATAAGGTTTGCACAAGCATCAAATCAGATTATGTACATAAAGGATGTGGTGAGGTACCTAGACATGGTATAGGCCTCGTAAACAGTGGCTATTAGGTGTAATTTTTGTCATCCTTATCAGCACACTTCATAGCTTCTTACAGACTTTAACAAGTCCAGGAGCTAAGGGAAGAAAGAAAACTCTGGTGGATAGTCTTTGGGGTCTTACTGATGTGAAGGAGGTGGGACTCCAGCATTCATTCCTGTTTTTTGTAAATCACTGAGGTGCAATTAACCATAACATTGTATCAGTTTCAGGTGTACAATATAAGGACTCATTATTTGTACATATTGCAAAATGATCACCACCATAAGTCTAGTCAATGCCTACCACGTACATCGTTACAAACTGTTGTTGGTGTGGACTCTGAATGCTCACAAACATCTCTGTCTCACAGAAGAGAAAACTAAGGGAGAGAGAAGCCCAGTGGCTTCCAGAGACAAGGCCAGGACTCCCAGCCTGCCCTCTGTCTCCAGAGCCAGTGCCTTCGACCCCTACCTGGAAGGGCTGGCTTACGGTCATCCTAAACGTCTTTAGAAGATTCATCCCTGGCAGTGAGGAATAGGCAGACAACAAATCAAAAACAACTTTGCCTTGACATGTTCCACAGAACCAATGACAAGACCCTTGTGTGTTGGGGGGATTTATGACTCCTGGTGTTAAGAATGCCTCTGTATTAGAGGAAAGGATAAAGTA